TTTTCAACTTTGATCAACATTTAATATAAATTATTTTTATTATAGATTATTTATATTATATATTTTGATTTTGATAAATTACGTTTTTTATTTTTTAATGGATCGTTGAATCTCTAGTAAACTTTTTCCTGTCGTTTCGGGGATCAAATACCGCACATAGGGCACTGCTCCAAGTACAAAAAGTCCATAACTCCAAAAGACGATTGTTTCTCCAACTAAATTAATAAAAGGTTGGTAGCTCTTGACAAATATGAAGGAAAATAGAGCATTGCTCGAAAAAATGCAAAGAGACGCCAGATTCTTGAGATTTGCTGGGAACATCTCACCTACAAGAGTGCTAGGTATTGTAGATAGACCACAAGCCACGAATAGATTAAAGCATAGCAATGATGTGATTGACAACCATGTCAGTTTTTCAGGATCAAAGTTTAGAGAAAGAAGATAAAAGTGAAGACCAAGAACGATTAATGAAATGGCGACGCCGACGCTGGAAAGTATTAACAGATTTTTCCGACCAAATCTGTCTACTAACAAGACAGCAATAAAGCCAGCAACAACTGTGGCGAAACACATCGCCATTACCACGATCGATGGAGTGATGGTCACTTTGGTACTGATAACGATGAGCTCTGCGTAGGCGTTTATTGTGCTGAACGAACTTGCTTGGACGAAGACTAGTAAGCCGAACATGATAAAAACGTTCTTCAAATTTACTGAAACAGATGAAGATTGATTTTAAATATGATTGAGATTTATTTTTACTTATAATTGTTTGCTGCATAATGTCCCATCCCAAAATGTTTAATTATTACTTTTGAATAAAAACTCATGTTTATGCTAAATACTTCAAAGATAAAAAAAAATTCATGCTGAAGATACGATCAAAGATGATTTGATGATCACTTTGTTTTTTCTTCTATGTTTTCAGATACCTGGTAATAGAAAGTCCTTGAGTTTTGTTAAAATGCTGGTGTTTGCGCCGTCAACAAAGTCCTGAAGTTCTTGTATTTCAGTCTTGACATTAGTCTCTCGTTGAAACCACTTGAGAGATGCCTCAGCTTCGTCGATATTGCCATGAAGAGCATAATGATAGGGTGACTCAGGTATTAGGCTGAAGAGGACCATGAAGAGGATATTCGGTACAATGCTCACATAACAGAACATCTCCATAGACAGATAAGGACCCATCACATTGCCCAAAAACATACCCATCGATGCTGCGTTCACTATCAAGGATATCTGAAGATGTAATCATGTATTATGATGACAAGCTTTTGCAATATTATTCAGCAAATGGATCATTAATAAAAATATTTAATTAACTTTAACTACAATTTTGAAAAACATTTTCAATTTATATATCTAGACTCGAGACTTCTTTTTTTTTGTTTGTTACAAATTTGAACAATTTTTTTTGTTTGTTACAAATTTGAACAATTTGTTACAAATTTTAATTAATTTTTTCTTTCATCAAAAATGTCAAATTGTATAGAATCCAAATTTGTAAAAAAGATTTGATAATAATATTAAAAGTTATGATAAAAAAAAATAATAAGAGTGTTTTATAGAAAAATTTTAAAAACAGCATTTTGTTTTGAAATTTGTATTTGTACAAAAGACGATGTACGAAAAGAAATAAAAAAATAAAAATAAGTATCGATTTAAAAAGAGGAACTTATCAACATTAAGAAAAAAATTATAAGTTATAATGTTTGCTTTTTCAAAAAATATAATTATATTGATGGATAAAATAGAAGTATCTTGAGATATACTCACATACTGAATGTATGTGAAACAACAGAGTTAAGTATATTAATGTTCTTTTTAAATTATTAAGTTGATGCAAAAATTAGAGAGTCCGACCGAAACTTTGGCCGAACTGAAACACTCAGCTGTATATCAATTAAAACTGAAATCAAAATTAAAAAAATGAGAAAAATCCTATAAAGATCATATGTTTAAACATATATGTTATCATATATATATTATCATATATATTTTCTTTATAAATATCATAATTTATTGAAATAATTAAAGTTCGGCCGAAATTGAAAATTGAAATTTCAGTTGTGTCAATTTTAAAATAATAATTTTGGCCAAAGAACAGTAAATACTTCTTCTTCATAAATTAATTATCATAATTTAATTATCGAAATAATAATTATAATTTAATTATTGAAATAATAATTACATTATACAATAATAATATTAAAAATAATATTTATGAAGAAGAGCTATATGGTTTTAGTCGAAATTGACACGTAATGAATGTTCGTTTTCAGTTTCGGTAAAAATTTCGATCGAACTCTACCAAAAATAACATCGCTTTTTTATTTTTCTAACTTGGATCAGATAACGAATAATTGATTGATTTGATTTCTTTTGATTTTTAATGGCTCTGTTTCAATCATTGCCGTTAAAATGTCAATGCAGGCTATTCTCACTGATGAAAATTTCAGAAAGATTCAGATAGGAAAATTTCTATCCATTTTATTTAAATCTTTTTCCGAATGAATCAGTTGTATTCCGAGCGAATCCGAAAAATAAGAATCTTATCCGACTGAATCCGGCCTAAATCGAAGTTGACGGAAAGATTATAATTTAATAGAATCTGATGTAAACCGAAATCGGGGAATAGATTCCGATATAATACTTTAATAAAAAAAATAATTGCTTGTTTTTTTTATTAAATTTGGAGACGACCAATAACGAGCAAATTAAGATATTATAAAAAACAATAAAGAAAAAGGTTACGAGCCAAAAATTATTTTATAAAATTAAACATTGTTAATATAGAAGTTTGAACATTAAGTAAAAGAAACAATTCTTTAGTTGATTTAAATGTGCTAGCAATAAACAAACAGACATTTCAATCATGATCGGATCATTATCAAAGTTAAAAATATAATATTATGGTAAAAACAAAACATAATATAAATTTGTATTTCGCCCTCTCTAACAAATGCTGATAACATAAAAACGATTATCATCCTGTTCATAGTTATAATGTAGCTTGGAAAAAATTGTCGCATGATAATAGCTAATTGCAGTTAATCATTGAATTGCTTGAATAATATTTGGAATTTTTGAGTTCATTATGTCATAATATCGAAGAGACAATACATTATTTTATTTTTTATTATATTTTTCACATTGTCTCTAATTTCAATCGACTTTTTACGCCAGAAACACTTTATTTTTTGATTGAAGAAATTTTGATTTTTTACATCAAAGGTATTTATTCGTATTAATTTTACTAAATTAGATTTACTAAATTATAAATTAGCTTTACTAAATTATAAATTCATATAATATATAGATATACATTTTATAAATTTAACTTTTATTAATTTTTGCAATGCATCACGTCAATGTATTATATTGTTTGATTTATTATTCACATCAATTTCTTTTTTTTACTGTAACAATAATCTTGCATTAACATTAATTCTTGTAAATATATTACATTTTATATATAATTTTTAAATCTTGACATCATTGCGGACATGCTGTTACTATCGGATATGACTGTTGATGAACTATGATATAGATTTCTTTCGATATATAATATTACGTACAAAATGATAATTAATTAAAACTGAAGAAGATTTTGTGAGTCGAAATACATATTGTATTATAATTATATTATATGGAACTTTTTTGATACATGTTTAATGTATTAAACAATAATTAATTACATCTTAATATGCTCATTATTGGTCGTCTCTTTTTTATTTATTTTGTTTTGCTGTGCAAATATCGAGTGTTATTTACATTATTCTGTTTTATTTTTACACAGTTATTATAATTTTTTATTTTTTAAATTTAATTTGTATTTACTGTTTCGCATATTCTATTTTATTAATTACAATTTATTTTAAAAAAAACGCATTTCTGCGCCTTCAGTAAGATTTGGATCTATCACCTACGATCTCTAGAACGATAGTCTAATAATACTAACGCTGAGCTAGAGCGTTTTTTCGTTATCCAACCAGAAGCGATCACAGCTAAGGCTATCATCTTTAAGGATCCTCTACTGAAACTGACCAATTCTAATCGAGTATTCTCCTTATATTTGATTGTTTCCTACAACTTAAGACTCTACGTCCGTCTACGACTTCTATGCAGAGGACCCTTTAGGAATCAGAAGACGAAAACTGTCTCAGCCGTGATTTCTTCTGATTGTATAACAAAAAAACGCCATTAATTGCACACTTGTTATTAAAATCAGCGTCAATGCTATCTATAATTTACAGTAACTATTCTTAATTTCATATTCCTACTACTTTGATTATTAATATTTAGAAGGTTAGACGAAAATGAAATTAACGTCAGTACAAACACACGTACGTACGCACGCAATTACGTTATTTATTATTGTAATAGCTAAAAAATAACATAACGATTTTTCGTCATCAATATCTATTTGTTTATAATATTTAATAAAGAAGATCAGATGGAAATGAAATTACATATTTATTAACTAAGCTAGAATATGATAATTAATGACAAAACGATTTATTTGTCGATCTCTATTTGTTTATTGTAACTTAATATTTGATAAAAGTAGATCAGACAGAAACGAATTACACGTTGGTATTTGTTAATTAAGCTAAAAATAATAACAACCCAGACAACTCACACAATTCATTGGATTCAAATCTGGTTTTTATTTAGTCCGAATCAAGTACGAATGTTTTAAAAACGTACATTATACAAAGTAAAAAATGTTCACATTTGGACATTTAAAAAATATTCATTCATGTAATTTTCTAAATCTGCTCGCGATGTGTTGCTTTCGCTGACTTGACGTGAAAATTTTTTTAAGATCGCAAGGAGTTTCACTTTTGTTAATATGTATGAATGTCTTTTGAACGTCCCATGGACGTCCCTAGGACATCTGTGCTGTGTTGAAAATTTTTAACGAAAAATCTACTGCTATTTATACTACTTATTTATACTATTTATACTATTTATGCAAGTTAGGTATATCATGGTACATAACTCATACATATCAATATGACGTACTATTATCGGCAGGAGAGAGATCTCTAGTCAAAGATATACATGATAATTGGTATTGTGAAAGTACAGCGTATGATTTTCTAATCTGAAAATAATCGTTATAACATTAAGATTAAATATTAGACAGTAACTGACTGGATGTTCAGTTGAACTGCACAAATTCTATCAGGATATTAAACAGATGTATCATAACTATATATCCGTGATTATATATAAGTATTCGTGGATCATCGAAGTGTAGCGATTTTCGTACGATTCCAGAAGTCAAGAATAGTGATACGCAAACCGATGAGTGATCATTTCAAAGCACCATAAAATTAATTCCCGAATTCAGGGAAAAATGTTTTTTTTTATCATAATTTTATGATGTGTATTCAGAAATAAGATATTAATCAATAATAATACTCATATAAGAATCATTTTGTTTTAATTGTAGTCTAAAATTTATTTAATATATTAATTTAATCTAGTTTTAGCCCATTGCGTCCTAAAATGAACGTTTTTAAGAAATCCAAAATGGTAACACTGGATGTTTTTAAAATGTTTTTAAAATGTCCATGGATCTAATTCGGATGTTTTTAATATGTCCAAAAAAACGTCCAACATGTATGTTTTAATATATTTTTAAAACGTTACTGTGCTATCTGGGAATAAAGCGATTTACATGTTATCGATCTCTATTTTTTCTAATCCTTCTTACGAATTGAGGATAGAAAGAATTATAGGCTTTGGATTCATTCGGATTGAACTCACGGATTGAGAAGGACTGAATGCTATTTCAGATTGGATTCATTCGGATTAATGCACGGGTTGAAAATGTTAGAAAGTTTGTCTCCAATTATTGTCGAATTCCAATTGATATTTCGAAAAATCGTACGGATTATAAAAGATTGAAAATTTTGTCTTGGATTCATATGGATTAGATGCATAGAGTGAGAGAATTGAAAAGATTGTCAGAATAAGTTTCGGATTCATCCGGATTGAATTAATGGATTGAGAAGAATTGAATGACTGTTTCGGATTGGTATCGGATCGGTATTCATTAGGATTGGAATTGGAGAGGACGCATGAATTGAAATTTTTAGTTGTACTACGGATTCAATCGGATGTAACTTGGAATTGATACATTGATCGAAAAAAATTACAAACTTGATTATGATTGATTTTGGTTTGAGATGGACATTTCGGAATAGCTCGGAAAAGTTTAGATTAAGCTGAATTAAATTTCTATCTGAAACTTTTGTTAAGCGATCCTCTTTATTTTTAAGGATCTCATTTTCGTTATAAAATTTTTTAGACTATCGTTGTACTATCTATTTGTTCCTTGGTCAAATGTTTTATTAATTTTTCGACTCGTTTCTTCTTTAGAGCTTAGTTTGAAATCATACAAAAAATTACTCGCAATTACTTCTTTTTCATATTTACCGGGTGTACAAGTATGAAATGACGATTTTTTCTTAAAAAAAAAAACACGTTAAATTCGGAAAAATGATAAAAAGAGATTTATTCAAAGTGCTCCATTGTTAGTTACATAGTTATTTTTCCCACCTTTCGAGCAATTTGTGGATACCACGCCAATAAAAATCTTCCCCTTTTACCGCGAACTTTTCATCGAGTCATTTTTTCACATCTTCGTACGAACCAAAGCGTGTGACCCATCGATGCAAACAAGTGGTAATCGGAAGGCGCCAAGTCTGGTGAGTAAGCCGCATGGGATAGAACTTCCCAGCTGAGTGCTTCCAACGTGTCCCGAACTGGTTTTGCCGTATGTGATGGAGCATTGTCATGGAGAAAAATGACCTTGTGTTGCCTCTTTTGGTATTCTAGTCGTTTTCTAAGCAGCGAACGGTTCAAATTGATTAATTGTTGTTGATAGCGTTTGGTATTAACCGTTTTGCCAGGCTTCAATAGCAATAATAGACCACACTTCTGGTTCCACCAAACACAGAGCATCGTCTTCCTGCCAAAGCGATTCAGTCTTGCGGTCGATGTGGATGGTGCGCCTGATTTTTTGCACTTGGGTGCGCCCATGATTTTTTGCAGTTGGGATTCTAAAAAAAAATCCACTTTTCATCCCCAATAACGATATGATGCAAGAATGACTTTCTTCTGTATCGTTCGAGTAAACTTTCACATGTGTTTTTGCATCTCTCCATCTGTCTCTCGTTCAATTCATGTGGCACCCATCTTTCTGAATCTTTCCCATTTTTCGTAGGCGATTGGAAACAGCTTGTTGACTAACGCTCAATTTCCCTGCGAGTTGTTTTTGTGTTTGTGAATCATCTTCATCCAGCAATGCTTGCAATTCCACGTCTTCATACTTTTTGGGCGGTTTTCCGTTTCCTTGTCTGCACCATCGAAATCTCCAATTTTGAAACACTGAAATCATCGTTCATACGTTTTTTGCGATGGAGCATGTTCACCATAAGCTTCTCCAAATAATCGGTATGATTCACAGTTTTCTTCAAATGAAAACAAAAAATTAATACTGTCCGCGAATGCTCCTTATTTGGTACAAATTTCGTCATATTAAACATAGCAACATAATACTATGCAAACACCTTTCAATCAAATCACTTTGCGCGTTTGACACTTGTTGATGGTACAATAAAATAGCGTATAATGTTAAATCTTTGTACTTCACACTGCATTGCGTCATCTTCTCAAATTGTCATTTCATACTTGTACACCTGATATACTAATTATAACAATAATTGATCACAAAGTTAACACTGAGAACAAAATTACTAGCACAATTAATAGCGAAATTTGCATCTGAAAATAATACAACATAAACACAAATGAACATAATCTTATTGTAAAATATATATATATATATATATATATATATATATACACACACACACACACACACACACACACACACACA